GAGGATATTCAAGCGGCCAACAAACATATGAAGAAATGCTCACGATCATTAGCTATTAGAGAGATGCAAATCAAAACAACAATGAGTTGCCATCTTGCCCCAGCACTAGTAAGTAGCAAAGTTCAGCAGGACAGAAAATAACAAATGCTGGTGAGGATGTGGAAAGATTGGGACTCTCATACACTGATGGTGGGACTGTAAAATGGTACAACCACTGTGGAAAGCAGTATGGCAATTCCTTCAAAAGCTGGAATTAGAACTACCATTTGATCCAGCCATTCCATTACTAGGTATATATCCTAAAGAAGTGAGAATGAGGACAAGAACAGATATATGCACACCCATGTTCATCGCAGCACTATTTACAATAGCCAAAAGATGGAAACAAGCTAGCTGCTCATCAACCAAAGAATGGCTAACCAAACTATGGTACATACTGGAATACTACACAACCCTAAAGAATAACATACAATCTGCAAAATGCTGGATAACATGGATGAACTTGGAGGACATTATGCTGAGTGAAATAAGTCAATCACAGAAGGAAAATTGTGTATTAGCCTGTTATTATAAAAAGTCAAGGAAAGGTTTATACATGGAAGGAAATTTTCTTCATCAGTTACCAGGGGTGGGAGGGGTGGGAAGGAAACACTGTTAGATAGGTAGAGACAAGTATTGATTTGGGTAAAGAGAAGGGCAATGTACCAAATGTGAGTGATCAACATGGTGGCACTGAGGAAGAGGAAGACATAGAGAGGTACATGGGAGGTACAGACAACAAAGATGAACCCTTTTGGACATACAGTACTGTGTTGTCAGTGATGGCAAACATTGATACATGAGTGGATAGATGGGTGGACAGGCTGAACTAAGGTATGGCTATGCAGTGGGGGATGTGCCCAAGACCATGTATAGGGTTGGCAGACAATATTTCTACAAGTGTATTGGTATGTTCTGTAGGAATTCCCAGGTATATAGAGGAGCTGACAAGGAACAAGGTTATAGTCACTTCTTGGCCACAGCCAGCTACCCAGAGGGAGCAAGTAGTTGGACCTGTGGGCTCAAGACCATAGTTGCAGGGGGCATCAAGCTCAATTGGCATAACACACTACACAAAACATCATTCCACATTCTACTCTGGCGAGTAGCAAATGGGATCTTAAAAGCTTGCAAGTGGCCACTTAGATGCAATGATGGGTCTCTCTTCATCCAGAGCAAGGAAGAATGAAGAAAACCAAAGATGCATGGAAACAATTATTCTAAGCAACTGGTACACCATGAGATCCTCAGCCTATACAACTATAAGACCAGAAGAACTAGTTGGTGCCCAGCTACCACTGTCAATCACTTGAAGGGGGATCTGTGTGGCGGATCCTGGTAGAGTGGTAGAACAATGTGGAACAAAACTCAAAATCATTGTGGGGGGAAGGGGGCAGGACCAGATTTGCTGGTCTGATGGAGCCTGAAGGAACCACTAAGACTATGGCCCACAGTTGCCCTTCAGGTCTGGAACTGAGCCCACTCTTGTGGCTTCCAGCCAAACAAAAGACAGGCATATGAGCTGAATATTTACATTAGGTAAATAGATTCCCTGGAAAGAACAATCATCAGAGAATAGAAGGGCTGTGTATGCACAGGGAGACAGCTCAGGAGGCAGGAGTACATGGAGGGAAGGACAAAGGGAAGAGGCAACTATGCAGAGGATGTGGGAGGGGAACTGTTGGATTGTGGAAAATGGTATTAATGTCATGAGACAAAGAGTATGTGAGCTGCTGTATGGAAAGTGAATTTGCTCTGTAAACTTCCACCCAAATCACAATTTTTAAAAAAGAATACCATGGTCTGCTAAAAGGACTAACAAATCTGTCCTGGAAGAAGTGCAGCTGGAATGAGCCTTAGAAGCACGAATGGACAGACTTTGTCTCACCTACTTTGGTCATGTTGTCAGAAGGAATCATTCCCTGGAGAAGGATATCATGCTTGGTAAAGTGAAACATCAACGAAGAAGGGAAAGGCCCTCAAAAAGATGGACTGACACAGTGGTTGCAGCGATGGGCTCAGGTATAGCAAGGATCGTGAGGCTGGCACAGAACCGGGCAGTATTTCATTCTGCTGTGCATAGGGTCACTATGAGTCAGAGATGACTCGATGGCACTTAAGAATAACAACATACTCATTGCAGCATTATTCACAACAGCAAAGAGATGCAAAGAAGCCATGTGCCCATCAATCGAGGAATTGATAAGCAAACTATAGTACATACACACAATGGAATACTATGCAACCCTAAAGAATAATGTAGAATCTGTAAAAACCACATAACATGAATGAACTTGGAGGACACTATGCTAAGTGAAATAAGTCAATCACAGAAGGACAAATAAATACTGTATTAGTCCACTACTGTAAATAGTCAAGGAAAGGTTTATACATAGAAGGAAACTCTTTGTTGATTATCAGGGATTGGAGTGAAAATTTCTAAATAGGTTGGAAGAAAAAAAAAAAAAAAATATATAT